CCGCCCGCCAGGCGACGTCACGGCCACGAGTGATGCAATGGGACGCAAGCGGTCGTGAACTCCGCGGGGCGCTGCGGGTGCGAGGCGAGCGGGCGGGCGGAGAAAACCACCAGCTCAGTGGGGCGCCTGCAGACGTGCAGGGCACACACACAAACACACACACACACACGCACACACACACACAGAGACACACACACACACACAAACACGCCCACACACACAGACACACACACACACAAACACACACACACACACACGCACACACACACACAGAGACACACACACACACACAAACACGCCCACACACACACGCACACACACACACACACACACACAAACAAACACACACACACACACCTACGCACACACACACACCTACGCACACACACACACACACGTCCTGCTCCACGGCTCAATCGTCCCTTCCCCGTCATCTGCGCCCCACTCCTCCCTTCACCTCCCGCTTTCCCCTTCGCCTCCCAGCCCTCCTCATCCTGCCTCCCGGCCTGCCCTCCTCTGCCCTCCCTTATCATTTCCCCCTCCCTTGCTCATCCCTCTTCCCCCTCTGAGACATCGGCGATGCATCCGATACCCAGGGACCCACCTTCCGATGCACGTGGGAAGCCAATGATAAGACAACAAAGCCTTGCCGCACCAGTGTCAACGGTTTGGCGATGAGTGGTGGCCACAGGCTGCTGATGGACGTCTTCAGTCCGCCGACCCCTGAAGGCCCACCGTGGGTTCGGGCGCCCACTCGCCCAGTGCGGTTTCCATGCATCCACCTCCCTTCCCCCTCATCACCCCCCTCTGGCCTTCGGCGAGACCGACTCACCCCTCCCATCTGGCCACGGCGATCTCCCACGCCTCCCCCGCTGCCACCCGACCTACTCCTCCCTTCCGACGATGGGGTCCTCTTTGGAGTGCCAAGCCCGCTACGACATGCGTCAGCGGATACAGAAAAAACAGCGCCGTGGGAAGGGATGGGAGGGAGGGATAGGACGTCATACGTGACGCGAATGCACCGGACCTAGCTTGTCAATCCCCCTGCCTGGCCACGCCGATGCCCCCACCACTCTGCCCCTGTCCTGCTCCGCCCTCCCCCCCTCTCCTCACACGCAGCCGAGCGCCACGTGTCTGCCGCGGGCCACCGCCGCCGCGATGCAGCGCGTTCCCGTTGAACGCGAGAAAGTTGCGACGCCACGAGATCCCTTTCCCCCTCTGAGGGGCCTCTCGGGAGCATCGAGGCCGTATTGCCTCTCTCTCTCTCGTTATCTCGTTCTCGCTTTCTCTCTCTCTCTCTCTCTCTTTCTCTCTCTCTCTCTCTCTCTCGGGGCAGTCTTGGGACCCTCTCTGGACGCTCTGGGGCCGTCCTGGAAGTCTCGCCCCATCCCCCCCCTCCCCCCCTCTGCTCCTGACATGTTCCTCCCTTTCCGCCCCACTCCTCTCCTCCCCCCTTCGCCTCCCCCCCCACGCCCCCCGCCCTTCAGGACGCCGCCTCCCTCCCCCCCCCCGCACTCGCCCATTGCGGGCTCCACAGGTCCTCCTGGCCCCTTCCCCACCCCGCCCCTCTGACCAAGGCGATCCTCCCAACCTACTCCCATCCCCCCTCTGGCCACGGCGATGGAGGAGGAGGAGGAGGAGGAGGCGGGAGGAGGAGGAGGAGGAGGAGGAGGAGGAGAGAGGGAGGATGAGGACGGAGGGAGGAGGAGGGAGGAGCAGAAGGAGGAGGAGGGAGGAGGAGGGAGGAAGAGAGGGGAGGAGGAGGAGGAGGGAGGAGGAGGAGGGAGGAGGAGGAGGAGGAGGGAGGAGGAGGAGCCCCCCTCTGCCCCCGACCTGCTCCTCCCGCCCTTCGGGGCAGGGCCTCCCGCCTCGCCGCCTGCTCGGGGTCCTCGGGCCTGCGCCTCCCCGCCGCCAGGCACACGGCCTCGACGCGCGCGGGCGGGGAGGGGGCGAGGGGGGCATGGGCCAGCAAAGGGGGGAGGGTGGGCGGGGGGAGGAAGGGAGCGCGGGAGGGAGCGAAGGATACCCATAGGGAGAGGGAGGGAGAGGGAGGGGGAGGGAGGGGGAGAGGACGAGAGAGGGAGAGGAAGAGAGAAACAGAGAAACAGAGGGAGAGGGAGAGGGAGAGAGGAGGGGGGGGCATTCGGACGGAACTCCCGGCAGCCCTCGGGGCGGAGGTGGTTTGAGGCGGTTCCTCGTCCAGCCCATTCCTTCCCCGCCGGGGAGGTGCTCGCCCCTGACCCCACACCCCCTCCCCCTCATCGTGGGATATATTGAGCCATCTTGGAGGTCATCTTGGGCTCTCCCAGGCGCTCTTGGAGTCATCTTAATCACTGCCCCCCAAGAGGCCAACATGTGGCTAAAACCTTTGTATAATCCTCCTCCCCCTCCTCCTCCTCCTCCTCCTCCTCCTCCTCCTCCTCCTCCTCCTCCTCCTCCTCCAGTCCGTGGCCATTTTGGCTCAAGTAACCATTTCGCCCGAGCCTCGTGTCGCTGGGCC